CCCCTTGTGGGACAATTAAAGGATTATTCTATTCTATTCTATTCTATTCTATTCTATTCTATTCTAATAGACACCATGCTATGAAATAAACAATAAACAATAGAAGCAAACAAACAAAACTTTAATATGGCAATTTTTGTAAATATATACATATAAAGATATAAGCTAGATTGTCAGTTGCTTTTCTTGCCTATGGTGCCAATAGAAATTATTGTGAGCTGTTAGTATTTTCCCTAAGCTGGGACACTACAACAGATCTTAGTGTTCCCCCACTTGCCAAATCTCACTGACTGTTCTTGTTTTTCTGTTTAGGTGTGGAGGCAAAGTCAACCCCTATTTTTCTTATTCTCTTGTGCTGCTGATTTTCTAAATACCAGATTCAAATTCAGGTCTTGCATGGGTGGCTGACATTTTTTTCAGATTAATATAGAAAAAACAGAAGTCCTTGTTTGTGGCCCTGACAGTTTCGTGCTTTAACTTCGGATGATCACGATCACATGAAATCTCACGCTGTGAATTAGAAATTATGGCAAATACTTTTATCTCATCCTTTCTGGAATATTGCAATTGCTTGTTCACTTGTCTCAACAAAACCTCCTCAGAATGTATGCAAGTTGTTCAGAATGCACCTGTGAGTACTGTCAGGTCACTTTCCAATTCAGATGCACTCGCTCCTCGTCAACTTCAGAGTCCACTTCAAGATTCTGGTTGTGACTTTCAGAGCTCTCTGTGGGTAAACACTGATGTACATCACTGAACCTTTACATCCATTTGTCTCCAGCTGGTCTCTGATGTCCTGCGATCAGGTCCTGCTGGCTGTGTGTTATACAAGAAAACTAAAGGAGACAGAGATTTTCCCACAGTGACCCCCAGACTCTCCCCCACTGAGCCTTAGATCTATGTATTTGGTGGTTTCTTATAAAAACAACTAAAGAGCCATCTTTTTAAGTAAAGTTGCTTTTGGGTAACTTTTTTAGACATTTGTTTGTGATATTTATCTTAAAAGGTGCTATATAAATAAAATTGTACATACATTCCTGCAAAATTCACATGATAAGATCAGACTTTAGCTTAAAAAACATAAAAGCACGGCTCCATCCTGCCTTGTATGAACAATTCAAGTTGTTGCTTGTGGTGTAATGTTGTGGTTCCTTGGCACATCTTGGGCCCCTTAGTACTGAGCATCATTTAAAATGCCACATCCTACCTGAGTAGCTACTGTTGCTGATTATGTCCATCCCTTTTTGGCAACAGGGTATAATCTACTAATGACAACGTGCCAGGTCACAAAGCTCAAATTATCTCAAATTGGTTTCTTGGATATAACAATGAGCTCGCTGTACTCAGGTGGCCTCCACCACCACCAGATCTCAGTCCAAGAGAGCATCTTTGGGATATGGAGGAATGAGAATTTCAGATCATGGATGTACAACGAACAGATCTGCAGCATCTCTGTGATGCTATCATATCAATATGGAACAAAAAACTTGTACCTAATGAAGTGGATGGTGAGTTTTTGTAGCCAATGGTATAAAAGTGATGGGCCGTAATAGCTGAGGTATCCTGGATAAATGTCATAGGACTTCTGTGGATTCTGGAGCCCCCCTGTGGTGGGATTTGGCTACTGCATGGACAGGGCCATAACAAATTTGTTTCAAATCTAAGTTTTTTTCAGAGCTGCACTTTGAGGGCAGACGACTTCGTCATGGAAAAATAGCGAGATGACAGACACAATTTCCTCTTGTTATAGCAGGAAAGACGCAGATAACTAACGGTTCTGTTTTAT